CGATCCGCGGCTGCCCGTCCAAATAAGTTTGGATGTCCGCGCGTTGCTGTGTCCACGTCACTCGTCACTCGTCACTCACGACTGCTGCTGCGTGCTGCTACTGACTGCATGCATGCACCTGCCGCTTTTGCGTGCTCGCGCAGATGTTCTTGATGCGCAGTCACGTGTCGGCCAGCCCACAACCTCTTGCCTGCTGCAACATCTTTCCCCAGCACTCGATCACGACGACTCACTGACTGGTTCGCATAGATTGCAACCCGAGCGCCTACCAAGGCGCCTGTAACGCTTCGACTGACGACACCACCACTCAGGAGCACCGCGGTGCGCAGGTTTTCACCAAGACAGGCTCAACATGCCGCTCGTGTCCGGATATGATTCTGACTCCGGCTCGGACGAGCAGGGCGGGCCGAGCCACGTCACAGGACCCAGCAAACAGACGAGTGCTGCTGGCACAGCAAGCCACATCGCTCCTTCAAGCAGCAAGATCTCGAAGCGCTTGGCTTCGCTGCTTCCTGCACCGACTACTACTTCGGGCAGTAAGCACTGCTCAGCTCAGACTCCAGCGCCACCAAAGAAGCGGCAAATCAATATTGCATCGCTCTCTTCTTTGAGAGCGTCTAATGGGGAGAGCGAAGGCGAAGAAACGATCGCTGTGGGTGCAGCATCAACAAAACGACCGCGGCTTGAAGATGGAGCAGAGAAGAGCTCTGAAGGGAAGAAGACGCACTCGCTGCTCGGTATGCTGCCCGCTGTCAAAGGTCCACCTCCACCCAAAACCGATCAGGCCGTTCCAGCATCCAAGGGACAGTTGGGCGCGATATCCGGCTCAGGCTCTTCAGCAGTAGGTGACGATGAAGGTGGATCACAAGAGACGACAGATCTGGCAAATGGCGATGCTTTGGAGGCACAAGAGGAGGAGGAGAAAGAGGATTTGGCAGCGTCAAGCAGTGCGCAATCATCTGGCTCGCACCCTTCGAAAGGCAACGATGCGTTCCGCGCCATGCTTGGCCTACCACCCAGCGCAAAGCCAGCTCCGAATTCATCGCAAGCGCTCAAAGTTCCGTCGGCATCCATGTCCATACCCAGGCTCGCCTCAGCCACGCCACGCATAGCTTCATCGAGCGTCAATGTGGGAGCACGACATGCAGACGCCCAAGAGCGATCACCTGCGCAGAAGAAGGATACTGTAGCTTTAGGTGGCTTCTTTGGGCTCGGTGAGTTCTGCTGAGCCTGCCTCGGTAGTCTGGCCGCTCGCTTTGCTAAGCGTCGCAGCTCGCTCCCCTTCTTTCCCACCATGCAGATGCCACCGAGGATGCTGAGCCCGCCACGCACTCCACAACGAAGGGCGCTTCACTTGGTGGATTCAAGTCCAAATTTTCAGTACAAGCGGCACCTACACTCAACAGTGGCGAAGCAGAAGCGTACCCTGGATGGACTCAAGATCCGGATGGCACATGGGTGCCAATCACTCCAGCAGCGCACGCCCAATACGCATCTTGGCTTTCCTCTCAGTCTTCCGAAGCGGCTGTTGCAGGCAGCTCATCCGCAGGAAGACGATCCTTGGGCACGGCAGAAGCGAATGCGGAACTTGCTCGAGCCGGATTGAAGGCGGACCAACTGTATACGATTGATGCTGGACGCAGTGCTTCGGAAGCGTATGAAGCGCCATCGAATGCGAGCAATAGACAGGCACCCGCTGCTGCTGCTCGTTCGGACGCTAGGTACGCAGCGGTCGCCGCAGCGATGAAACAAGCGCAAGCGAATGGTGGCGTTGTGGAAGGAGAAGAAGAGGATGAAGATAGAGGAGGGAAGAAAAAGGACAAGAAAGATAAAGCTGGCTTTAGAGCAAGACAAAAGGGACAACTTTCGGCTCTTTTCGCTCATGCGGATGAGGAGAGGGAAAGGCTGGAAGAGAAATGGGCGGCGCACAGAAGTAACAAGCGAAAAGCTAATGAGAGGTACGGATTTTGATCTCGGGGATTATGCAAAGCTTTGGACAATTGTAACATCATCACCGCAATCAATCTGAATTGAATGTATCGAGCGAGCGTTCTGGGTTCGCTGCCAATTGCATTTGGAGCGCATACATCCGTGCAGTATCGGCGCCTGTTCATGTTCATCGTGAATGCATGCACTTGGCCTTGCCCAAGCTAATACCCACAAGAGCTGCGATGGTCATCGATAGGCCTGACGAGCAGTAAAACAGCTCTTTTATCACGAATCTTCCTGCACTTTGCTCGACCAAAGCCTGCCTACAACACCCACGTTTGAGGGAGGATGAAAAGTGTTGAGTCGTGTGACGCGTGACTGCAGGCATCAGGCAGGCTGGAGCCATGCAGGCCATTCCCATCATTTGCACCACCCAAAACCCCGCCAAGCATGCGCGTGCTGATCGCGCCTGCCGGGTGCTGTTTGTAGGATACGGCGGTATACAGTAGGTAATCATGTGCATGCAGCTAGGTGATGGTGTGTGCGCGCGACCAGCAGTACGCGTGCGCACAGAAGCATGGAGCTTCCTCCCGTGTCGCCATCAAATCTTCGCTCCTCTTCTCAATCCATCACCCCCAGCAGGACGCAAAAAGCAAAAGACACGCCCAAAGACAGGCTTTGTGAACTGCAGAACTACTGCCGTAGTGCACCACCACGCGCACCACTTTGATCGACGTCACTTTGCTTGGTCCTACCGCTGGCTGGTCTTTACACATCGAAGTCGAACCACACAGCCTCCACCTTGCACTCGACCGGGTCTACCACGTGCCGAGCCTCTCTTTCCTCGAGGCTTTGTTCCCATCAAGATGCCCAAGACGGCAGGCAAAGGCAAGAGTTCGGCCACTCCTGCCACTCGAAAAAAAAATGAGAGGGCAGCGTTGAAGAAGCAGGGCATTGATCCTGACACTGTCGGAAAGGGCAAAGGAGCCAAAGGTGGTCCGCAACAGCAAAGGGTTCAGAAGAAGAAGAAGAATCAAAAGAAAATCTTCGTTCCTCCTCCTAAACCTCCTCCACCTCCTCCAGATCCTTTGGACGACATGGGATTGGCCAGCTTGTTGCCTGCTGGATTGGTCGTTTTGCTGAGAAGAGCCAGCAAGAAGGACGTGATTACGAGGACGAGAGCTTGCGAGGCTCTGCTTTCTTGGGTCAGAGGTAGCGATGAGGAAGGCATCACTGCTAGTGATGACGAGAGGAGAGAGGCAGAAGTGACGTGGTTGCCCTGCTGGGTGAGTTAGCGTGATCCAATGGTGTATGCGCCATGTCGCACGACAGACCTCGACGGAGCTGATTCGAAGCCATCATTCTGACTCGCTCCTCCACGCGACAGGCCCATCTGTTTCCAAGACTGTCTATATCGCCTACCAGGAGATTGCGATCATTAGCTGCAAGCATACATGCCGTCCTGCTTACACAGGGCCATACCAGAGCCGAGATGCTCAATACACCAGCATACGTAGAGTCAACACTCGGACCTTTGGTAGTGTTGGCGCACGACACAGATCGAGGCGTCGCAAGGGGGGCCAAGACGGCCTTGGAAGGCTTTGTGCAATGGACCACGGCCACTGCGGATCAACGATTGGACGCTAGGGAGCAGCTTTACACCCTCTTGCCACATTTGCGTCTGCTCTTGTTGAGCCCTTCTCCTGCTGCTGCTCTCCGCGAGACTGCTCCAGCAGCCAACAGCAGCAATGCGAGCGGCTCCGGTACTCCGGTCCCGCATGCCCCTGTTCGCTTCGACTCGGGTCTCGCCCGAGACGCCAAGGCTCGGGATGATGCGAATGTCGAGGAGGATATCAGAGCGACGGATGGCAGATTAGCCGCGGGAGCTGCGGGAGCTTTAGCTTGGGTCGTTTGTTAGTCGTCCCGGAAACTGTTCTTTCGATCCAAGAGCTGAGCCTACGCCTCTTTACCTTTTGTTGCAGCTTCTCATCCGGCACCACTTCCTATGGAGCAGTTTGAAGAACTGTTGACCTCTGCGGAAATGTGGTCTCTCTTGACACCTCCTGACATTGTCAAATTGGAATTGCCCGCACCTCCTGTCCCAGCTCCTGAGGCCGTGAAGGCCAAGCGCAGCAAGAAACGACCTCCCTCACCGCCCCCTCCACCGCCTCTGCCTCCCATCGGATCGGAAACGCCCTTGGCCAGAGCCCGAGCATGGTCGCTCGTTTCATCTCTGGTCAGTTCTGGAACACCTGCGTTACTGGATGCTGCTCTGCCCGTATTTGCGCCGCTCGCCATGCCAGCGTTCTGGGCCGAGCGCGATGCTACGTGCGCGAGAGCTGCGATTGATGCGCTTTTACCGCTCCTCAAGCTCAAGCCGGAGACTTGGGAGCTTGCTGGTGTGGAAGAAGGAGCGGACGAAGCAGCAGCAGAGGGGACTGATCACGCGAGCCAGTCACTCGAAAAGCCGAAGAATGATGATCGAAACAGGTCTGATCTCGAGAGAAATGTGGCGCCGCCAGCGCGCTCTGCTTCTGTGCCT